TTCAGTAAATGTATGTTGAGTATCATTTGGAAAAGAAAAAATGAAAACTGAAATTGGGAAGAGGAAAGTGTATAACTTTCCAGAGACTCATATAATATAATATCCAAAAGGTAGGTGCTGCTGGCTAAATAGAACCTTGAACTAGAGCACTTATATTAGGAGATGAGGATAAACGGCATCATCATCACCATCACCATGATGATGATGATGATGATGCAGGTCCCACCTTGTATCACCAATATCTGCAGTTCTGGCAAATATTACCTTATACTGAATGGCAGATCAAATCTCTATCTATCTATATCTCACATATTCTCACTACCCACCTCCACCCCTTTATCCCCAGGTAGTATAAGAGACCTACTCACAAGATGGGTGTTCTCAGTTACTGCATCAAACAGCGCTTAGAACCAAAAAGAACTCATTTATTAATTATGGACAGAGATGCTGCCACATCTTCAAAACCTTCAAAAGACATTGTCAAAATGCATCCACCACGAGTCCACTGGTCTCTGTTTGTGATACCAATACTAGTAACCCTGAGACTGAGGTTCCTTCATTTTGCTTATGCTTGAAATATTAGGGGGAAGAGCATATTCTGAGACATACTATCCCTCTTCCCACCAGAATCCTCTCCAGCTTTCTAGGAATAATATACCCAAGATGGACACAAAGTGAACAGGTGCTGTACCACTTGAGATGTCTCAAAGGGGATTTGCACATGTTCCTGTAACATGCAAACACATCATGTCTTTCATATACATGCTGCCCTCCCTCCCCTGACAATGCATAGACATGAGGCAAGGCGGGATTGAGGTTTCTTTATAGAGGTGCCAAAAGCCATAGTTCAATGACAAAGCACATGCTTTGCATGTAAGAGGTCCCAGGCTCAGTAACTGGTATATCCAGTGGGAAAGACTCCTGCCTGAAACCCAAGAGAGTTGCTACCAGTCAGCATCAACAGTGCTAAAATAGATTGAAAAATGGTCTCACTTGGCATAAGGCAGCTCCCTATACAGTGGTGCCTCGCAAGACGAAATTAATTAGTTCCGCAAGTTTTTTCTTCTTGCGAGTTTTTCGTCTTGCGATGCACGGTTTCCCATAGGAATGCATTGAAAATCAATTAATGCGTTCCTAGGGAAACCACCTTCAGACCAGGTCCGGGGACAGTCTGTTCCCCGACCTCTTCTGAAGGCTGGGGGGGGGGGGGAACAAGGGCTTTTTTCCCACTGCCAGCCTTCAGAAGGCTGTTCTGAAGGCTGGCGGTGGGAAAAAAAGCCCTTCTTCCCACCTCCCGCCCCGCAAGCTCCGGGGACAGGAGGGCTTTGCTGCCGACCGCCAGCATTTTAAAAGCCCCTGCTGTCCCGGGGCAATTTTAAAATGCTGGCGGGCGGGAGCGAAGTCTCTGCTGTCCCGGGGAGATTTTAAAATGCTGGGGGGCGGGAGCGAACGCTTCGCTCCCGCCCGCCAACATTTTAAGATCGCCCGGGGCAGCAGAGACTTCTCGCCCAAAGCAAGGGGAGCTCTCCGAAGGGCTCCCCGTGCTTCGGGCGACAGGCTGCCGCCCCAAGCCTCGCGCACCCGGCAGGACCTCCTGCTGGGCGCGCGAGGCTTGCAGACACTCGCCCAAAGCAAGGGGAGCTCTCCGAAGGGCTCCCCGTGCTTCGGGTGACAGGCTGCCGCCCCAAGCCTCGCGCACCCGGCGGGACCTCCTGCCGGGTGCGCGAGGCTTGCAGACACTCGCCCGAAGCAGGGGAAGCCCTCCGGAGGGCTCCCCGTGCTTCGGGTGACAGGCTGCCGCCCCAAGCCTCGCGCACCCGGCGGGACCTCCTGCCGGGTGCGCGAGGCTTGCAGACACTCGCCCGAAGCAGGGGAAGCCCTCCGGAGGGCTCCCCGTGCTTCGGGCGACAGGCTGCCGCCCCAAGCCTCGCGCACCCGGCGGGACCTCCTGCCGGGCGCGCGAGGCTTGCAGACACTCGCCCAAAGCAAGGGGAGCTCTCCGAAGGGCTCCCCGTGCTTCGGGTGACAGGCTGCCGCCCCAAGCCTCGCGCACCCGGCGGGACCTCCTGCCGGGTGCGCGAGGCTTGCAGACACTCGCCCGAAGCAGGGGAAGCCCTCCGGAGGGCTCCCCGTGCTTCGGGCGACAGGCTGCCGCCCCAAGCCTCGCGCACCCGGTGGGACCTCCTGCCGGGTGCGCGAGGCTTGCAGACACTCGCCCGAAGCAGGGGAAGCCCTCCGGAGGGCTCCCCGTGCTTCGGGTGACAGGCTGCCGCCCCAAGCCTCGCGCACCCGGCGGGACCTCCTGCCGGGTGCGCGAGGCTTGCAGACACTCGCCCGAAGCAGGGGAAGCCCTCCGGAGGGCTCCCCGTGCTTCGGGGGACAGGCTGCCGCCCCAAGCCTCGCGCACCCGGCGGGACCTCCTGCCGGGTGCGCGAGGCTTGCAGACACTCGCCCGAAGCAGGGGAAGCCCTCCGGAGGGCTCCCCGTGCTTCGGGCGACAGGCTGCCGCCCCAAGCCTCGCGCACCCGGCGGAACCTCCTGCCGGGTGCGCGAGGCTTGCAGACACTCGCCCGAAGCAGGGGAAGCCCTCCGGAGGGCTCCCCGTGCTTCGGGTGACAGGCTGCCGCCCCAAGCCTCGCGCACCCGGTGGGACCTCCTGCCGGGTGCGCGAGGCTTGCAGACACTCGCCCGAAGCAGGGGAAGCCCTCCGGAGGGCTCCCCGTGCTTCGGGCGACAGGCTGCCGCCCCAAGCCTAGCGCACCCGGAGGGACCTCCTGCCGGGCGCGCGAGGCTTGCAGACTCTCGCCCAAAGATTTTAAAATGCTGGGGGTCGGGAGCGAAGCGTTCGCTCCCGCCCGCCAGCATTTTAAGATCGCCCGGGGCAGCGGAGAAGTCTCCGCTGTCCCGGGAAGGCAGGCGGGGGGGAGCAAAGACTTTTGCCCCCCGCCGGCCTTCAGAAGAGGTCCAGGACCTCTTCTGAAGGCCGGCTGTGGGCGAAAGTCTTTGCTCCCGACCGCCAGCAATTTAAAACAGGTCCCCGGAGATTTCCCTATGGGCTTTCGTCTTGCGAAGCAAGCCCATAGGGAAATTCGTCTTGCGAAGCGCCTCCAAAACAGAAAACCCTTTCGTCTTGCGGGTTTTCCGTCTTGTGAGGCATTCGTCTTGCGGGGTACCACTGTAATCCTATGCTCCATCATATGGAACTCCCTGCCTAGGTCTGGCTGGCTGCTACACTGTCCTGCTTCAGGAACTTGGAGGATGGAGAACCTATCTTTTCCCCAGTTAAAAGGTTTCTGGAACAGAAAAATGTGCTCTGCAGTTTTGTGGTTATAATGTGGCTTTATGTTTCTTTCTGATGATGTGTTTGAGGTTATTTTTACATGTTTAATTTTTTATTGATGGGTTTCATGTATTTTTCACTGCCGTTGAGGAGACCTATAAAATGAATATATAATCATGGTTCATGGGGTCATTTCTGGCAATCCAGAAAACATAGTGATATAATGCCACAGATAAGTGGGCATGGGTCTGGTTTTGCAATGTACAGTATCTTAGCAATACCATCTCTGTTGTGCATGCATACATCAGCAGATTGGGTAGGGGATAGCACATTTCACAATGTATCGCTAGTATGTGTGGATCTACCATCACTACTCTTATAATATAAACTTCCATTTATGTAGAAATCTGTACAGGCATAGAAGCTAAGCCACTGGCAGCAATTTGTAGCACTACACACCGAAATATATGCATTGTGACATTTATGCCTTCTCAAAACATGCAGATCTTATTGCAAGATTAGTGTAAAGGTTTGAGAACCAAATCAATACTGTAATTGAAAACACGAACATCTGTCTCTTTATTCTGGTGAAACAAAGGGTATTTCCTTACCACTGTATTTAGAAAGGATTAAAGACACATTTCCCAGTTTTGTTGAATCAATATTGGTTTCTGTGTTTCTCGTACATATTGGTTCTGCACAATAACTCCTAAATGTGAACATTTACTTGCTGAGGGAAGGGGAAGAAAGTTGGGAAAAGAAGATAGAGGTCTTAGAGGCAGCCGTGATATCTTAAATAACAGCTGTGGTGGGGACAATGGGCAGCCTACAGAAGTGGTGCCGAAGGTGATGTTCATGATGATATGTAGAATTTAACTGAGCTTTTGAATGTTCAAACATTTCACCAACATTATATTGTCACAATCATTACAACAACCCTGTAAGTATTGTAATATTGACACTGATCTTTCCAGGTGAGGAGGTGAGGTTACAGTTGAGAGACTATGGTTTGGTTAGTGCAACTTTTTTCCTATGTCTGCTCTGGCAACACCTGGATCTAATAATGTCAACCATAACATCCAGAGTTCATCCACCTGCTCATATTTAAATGTTGTATGTGCCATTATCTGCCAACATCACCCTTCCATGGTCCTCATAAGACAAATAGGTCAGTATCAACGCAGAGAAATAAATTAACAATATTGGATACTTCTCCATGGTTTATTAATCCAGGCATGTCATGTAAAAACCAGCTCAACAGCCTGTCAATTTTGACAACTGTGCCATAGTTCTCATATTCTAAGGAAAGGTAAACAATGATTTCCAGTTCACTTTCTGCACACCCCTCGTGATTATATAATGCTGAAATCATCTAGGTAATAACCTAGGGATATAATTTATTCCACTCTCACTGTTGCTTTTTTCAATTAACTGTCCTTCAGGCATAGACAGTGGTTTGACAGCTAATTACCTACTCACAAAGACAAATTCCAAAATAATTTCTAAAAGCTTTCCTATAATAATTTTGTAATTAATGGTGGCACATGATATGGTAAAAGTCTATGAAAGCTGTTTTATATTTCAGTATATCAGCCTAACAGCATCAGGTGCTAGAAATATTGTTTCACGAGGCTTTCCAGATGAAACTCCAAGCCAATTTTCAGGCCACAATGAACTAATCTCCAAGTTTCAGTTTCACATGCCTGAGAAATTACATTACCTGCTGAACATCTTGCTGGAAAACACAAAGTTGAAGCCTCTGATGTAACCGGACCTTCCTGTGCTGCCAGATGCTCTCCAAACGCCGTTGGTGATGCAAGACCTCATGGACCACATCCAAAACTTGGTGAACAGCCTTGGAATAATTAGCTGTGGCAGTAAGAGATTCTGAATTCCCCGGACTCAAGGGACGCTGTAAGACATCCAGCAAAGCCTTTCCATCCTGGCTTACCTGTAAGATTAAGGGGGGGGGGGAATCCATCAAGTTTAATGTTATAAAATTGTTCAGGTAATTGTGTTTTAAAAATACATATGTAACTAAATGGGGTCACTTTTTTTCTTTCTTTCCCTGTGAAAAGGCAAATTCAGAAGGATATTTATTCCTAAGGTTCAGACACTTAATTCGCAAACTTCACTTTCTTCTTAAGAAAACATGGGTGAATTCTCTTCAGTGTTTCCTTTTAAAAACTGCCTATAAGTGGGGGTTGTTCTAAGCTGTAATGTTGGTGAAAACTGTATATGGAAAAATGGAATTGCCATTAATTTATACCGATGCAACACAGCAGGCTCACACCCAAAAGAGTGTACTTAAAACATTTTCCTTCAAGCCTATTATGAAAACATTCAAGCAAATTAGAACTTCACTAGGTACTTTGTTACATACAGTATTTACTACTTTATTTTGAACACAGTGGGAATCCATACTTGGTTTAATGGCTTTTCTTCAGTGCTTTTTAAAAAAATTGTTCTGATAATGTTGTCATAGATATCATAGAAACACCAATAAAAAGAACATGAATTATGTGAGTCCTGAAAGTCCCTGCAAATGAATGAATAGGTTTTGAAAGAATTATTTAGAAAGTAAGCAGCTACCTGCCATTTAAGCCTTCCAGTGCACCCTTTAAGAAGTAAAAATACATGTACGTCTTATGTCAGTGATTTGCATTTTACAAGGATTGTTCAAGGTTAAAATACACTTATAGAGCAGCTTTGCAGTGTGTATTGTATCATAAGTTGAAAATGGGGCTATACAATCAAACTAGTGGGTGAATTCATTCTCCCCTCAGTTCAAATTGTAATTGGGTTGCTAATTGCAAGCATCATCAGAGAACACTGAAAAGAGATCAGTTTTTCTCCTAGAGTTCTAAATTGGCTTACTTTTAGGGAACACACATGTGCATTTTTGCACTGCTGCTTAGAGATTATTTTATTTTTAAAATGCATATAATGCCTTTTATTAACTTTGTTTTTGTTTTTCCAGCAGTCAATTAAGGATTTGGTTTTTTAAAGATAATGTGTATTCAATACATGCCCTGCATTTGGGCATAAGTTCCCAAACTTTTCAGTTTGCCAACCCAATAGCCCAAATGTTATTGGTATGGTGACTCATTTTATTGCCATAATCATGATCCCTATCCACACTATTAAAAAGCAACAGCTATACAAGTTATTATCTCCTTCTTCTTCTGTACTTCTATCATCTCTTTCACAGTTACAGTGGTACATCGAGTTACAAACGCCTCAGGTTACAAACGCTTCAGGCTACAAACTCTGCTAACCTGGAAGAGTTACCTCGAGTTGAGAACTTTGCCCCAGGATGAGAACGGAAATCATGTGCCAGCGGTGTAGCAGCAGCAAGAGGCCCCATTAGTGAAAGCACGCCTCTAGTTAAGAACAGTTTCAGGTTAAGAACGGACCTCTGGAACGAATTAAGTTCGTAACTAGAGGTACCACTGTACTAGGGATATATACAATTTAATTATATATCTGTAAACCGCTTTGAGATTTTTATTATATAAAGCAGTATAGAATTTTTTTTTAAAAAAAATAATTACTTTGTGCAAATTATTTGGAGAACGTTACTTAAGCAAAACAGAGTTTGGGTTTTAATTTGTGTAGGTAACACACTGTGCTAGTTATGGATATTTAGACCAGGAGTTGACAGTGGTGGCTGTCTAGTGTTTCACAGTTTCTCTTACTGTGCAATCTAGAACTGCAGGCAGCTAAGATCACAATAATGTTACACAGAATCATAGAGTTGGAAAGAACCCAAAGGATCATCTAGTCCAACACCCTGCAATGCAGGAATCACAGCTGAAGAATCCCTGACAGATGTTCTTCAACCTCTGCTTAAAATCCTCCAAGGAAGGAGAGTCCACCATCCAAGGGAGTCCGTTTCAGTGTTAAACAGCTCTTACTGTCATAGTTCCTTCTAATGCTTTATTAAAATACCCTTTCTTGCAACCTGAATCCATTGGTTCGGGTCCTACCCTCTGGAGAAGCAGAAAACAAGCTCACTCCATGTTCCACGTGACAGACCTTCAGATAATTAAAGATAGCTGGCACATCACCTCTCAGTCTGCTTTTCATGGATTAGGTGACTCAGTATAATGTTCACTCATTATATTGAGAAGAGAGCAAAATAGTAGGCTGGACATAGACAATACTAACAGAATAGTTAAAAAAGCAGGGGTTAATATGAAGAGTGGCTGGGGAAACCCAGCCAGATGGGCGGGGTACAAATAATAAATTATTATTATTATTATAATCATCTGGCAGCTCTACCCACTGAAGAGAGTTCCTTCTGCTCACGCATCATTAAAATTCACCAATAATGCAATGAACAAGCAAAACTGAGAATATTCATCACTTCAAGAATGAATGAATGTCTTCAGAAGCAGGGGACAAGAAACCTTTGAGGACTATTTGAGATGTGACTGTCACATAGCTCACCCTGTGCTGAGATTCTACCACAGGTTCACTTAATTACTGTTAGAATTCCAAGCCCTGGTACCTAATTTGCAGAACAATCGTGGGCATGGTTACTCAGACATTAAGTTCCACTGTGTGGGCTTATTTTCTAATAATTGTGCTCAGACTGCAATACTATAAGTGCTTTCTGGGGAGAAAGTGGGGTAGATGTTTCTGGATTGCAATGCAGACGGTTCCACTTCGGCTTACAGAAGACTCATTAGTTAAGGTGCTTAAACAGTCACATCAGCATGGAAATGAAAAGTCAGATAAATATGTCCTACATATTACTCAGCTAATACCTCCACACCTCAGAGGCACATCCAACAATTTTCATTAATTTTCACTGTCTAACCTGCTAGTGGTTATTAAAGTCTGTTCCGTAAACACTCACCTCCGTGTAGGCTTGGGTGACCTGTTCATAAAGGGACTGATGATGATGGATGGCCAGTTCAAGGTCTTGCATTTCAGAGGGGAGGCCTCCTTCACTGCACATTTTGCACCAGGCATCTACACCAGAAAGGAACTGCAAGAAGAAATTCCAAAAGGACATTACAGGAATGCAATAGACAGGTAGCAGCAGGAGGAAATAATAATAATTAAAATTATCAGGAAAGCCATTTTGAAGTACTACACATCATAGCACATCAAAAGTAGAGTGAGACAAACAAGCATATAAACAAAGTTTCACTTTCTGAGTGGAAACCAGGATCCACAGAGCTTGTGTACACAAGGGGGCACAGAACATATGATAATCAATCAGCAGCCCCCTGACCTGTCAGTGCTGCAATGGTTTTGGACAACTCCCTGAGTTTCAAAATTAACAGAATGGCGAATGCAGATTTTAAAAATTATTATTTATTATTATTAATTTTTTTGAGAGAGAGAGAGTGAGAGCGAGAGAGAAGAAAGCTGTATAGCCCCTTGGGTGCACCTAACCCACTGAGCATGCCTATAACATGTTATAAGATCCTAGCCCATGATAGCACAGAATGAGAAGAAGAAAAGGAGTGCTGGTCTGAACTGAATACACAAGCTTTCATTTTAAGAGCTTAAGTGATAAAACTGTGACCCATTAACTTAGTGCAACTGACAGGGTAATTTCTAGAAGACAATCTCTACATGAAGTACGCTACATGTTGAAATGGACTGGGCTACATCTTAGCACTACTATACAAAATCGAGGCCAAGCAATCACTTCAACAACAAAAAGAAACAACACCTCCCTCTAAAGGTCATGTAAAAGGGGAGAAATTGACAGATTCAGCATCCCTCTATGATTAGCAACACTTGCCAAAATTCTATGTTCTACACAACTATTAAAGATAGCTCTGCCCAACTTTGCATATGGTCACCCTATACTTAAAGCAGCAGAGCTAGGCCACCTTCTATCTTTCAAAAACATCCAGTAGTGATGGAAAATCTCCCTGCAGCTTGATTTGAAATTGAATCAGCCAATTTGAAAGATTACTGGAGAACACTTTTTAAAAGATTGCTTTTTCTCCAAGAGCTCTTGTAGTCTCATCTCATACTATTTCATTTTTAACTGGTTCAAAAATATAGTTATTATTATTTATTTATTTTTGGCCTGCCATATGGACACTAAATGCATCTCATAGAGAGCTAAGCAAACACACCAAGGGGCAGTTTTTATGACTCTATGGGGCAATGGAGAAATTCCAGAGCCTTAAGAAAGGGAAACCCATCACCCACAGACATGTTATCCAACACCAGTGAGGTACAATCTACACTGAAACTGCAGTGGTACCTCGGGTTAAGAACTTAAAACGTTCTGGAGGTCCGTTCTTAACCTGAAACTGTTCTTAACCTGAGGTACTACTTTAGCTAATGGGGCCTCCTGCTGCCGCCGCACCACCAAAGCACGATTTCTGTTCTCATCCTGAAGCGAGGTACTATTTCTGGGTTAGCGGAGTCTGTCACCTGAAGCGTTTGTAACCCGAGGTACCACTGTATGTATATTTTCTTAATGAACTGGGGATTTCCAGAATGCTAAATCTGTGGTGCCAAACAGTAAACACTAGTGATGAGAAGGCTTGAAAGTTCTAAGGCCATGTAGCCTGCACACTTTTCATAAGCTTACAAAGCTTATCCTGACCCTGCCTTCTCTGAACATAACGTTCTCTTGCTTGCTGGTTTGTTTGTTCAAACTGAACGTGGCACATTGATGTGCCTTTTAACAAGCTCACATCTTCAACTTGTTTATTTATTTATTTCATATCCTGCCCTTCCTCCCAAAGGAGGCCAGGACTGGAAACAAGTGATAAAACGATAACAACATATTAAAAACAATTCCAATACGGATGCAGACCAGGAAAGATTCCACACACTCTTAATCCCACCGCATTACTCTTCCCTAATGTTCCTGTTTCTCTTAGTCTTTTTTCCCCTCTTGCTCATTCTGCTATGCATAAACACCTATCAATAAAAAGAACAGCTAATTATACAGTAGCTACACTGCCTCATTTGAGTAATATAAAAAAACACCTTTGAAGTTTCCCCCCTCTGCCTTGCTTAGGCAATGCTTTAAGCACTGTACCTATTGAGGTGTACTGACTGAAGAGTTCCTGTTAAGTTTGCCATTTTTATCAAGGGTGTCTTAGAATGAGGAGCCTGAAAGGACATGAAGGTCACAGTGGCTAACCCCATCTCAACCCCACCCTTAGCAGAGTCCTCCCCAACCTAAACACATTAGCACAATTATTATGAATCATAAGCATAGCTCAGCATATGCTGGGCCCAGCAGCTTTACGACAGGGAAGCCGCTTTAGCATAAAAGACTCCTATGGCTCAACCAAGCTAGCTGAATTAAGTGTAACAATGCTTGGACAAATACACTTTTTTTGGATTGCTTTTGCTTTTCAGTGTGTACTTTCCCCACTGATTAGTGGTGATGTACTGTGGTTATCAAACCAGAAGTGGGGGGAAACAGGAAAGGATTCGCACCTACTGATCACCAAAAGGCAGTACAGTGGTACCTCGAGTTAAGTACTTAATTCGTTCCAGAGGTCCGTTCTTAACCTGAAACTGTTCTTAACCTGAAGCACCACTTTAGCTAATGGGGCCTCCTGCTGCTGCCGCGCTGCCGGAGCACGACTTCTGTTCTCATCCTGAAGCAAAGTTCTTAACCTGAAGCACTATTTCTGGGTTAGCGGGTTCTGTAACCTGAAGTGTATGTAACCCGAGGTACCACTGTATTACATTGCATGGTTCTCAATTCCTGCCGTCTGGATTCCTAAACTTCAGTGTCTAAGGATTCTGGCAGTGAAGCTAAAGTTTAGGTATGTAAACTTAAGTGAACTTTTTGGGTATGAATATATGTGTCATGCATTTGCACCCAAGTAGGGATAAACTCCCCCACCCCATCCTCATTTATACAGAATTTTCCAAGCATTTCATTTTGTTCTTTCCTATCATCACAACTACTCCCTGGCTTGTTTTTTCTTTCCAAGTCATTGCATGTCAGTCAGAAGGCAATGCAGTCAAAATAATTTTATTTGGGGCATTCAAAAAAATTTTTCTTTGGGGATAACTTGGAAGCAACCTGGTTTCAGCTATCACCACAAAGAAGAACAAAGTCACTCATGTACTTGAGAAATATTTATAAAGTGCTTCCCAAGGGTTCAATCAGCTTATGCCTGGCTCAGATAAACTGCAGCTGCAACAGTTTGTAAATGGTCTAAGTGTGTCTGTAAACATCAGGCGCTGTAAGGTATGTTGTATGTTTTAAAATAGCAACCACCTTAGAAAGAGATAGAAACAAGTATTCCACAAAGGGTATTCTGGTTACTAGGTAAGAGAAAAGAGCTAGAGATGGAAGTTAAAGCACATGAGAATAAAAACCCAGCTGAAATATAGAATATAATTTTATTAACAGAAAAAGAGAAGAAACATCATGAGATTAAGACACCACACAATGTGAAGGCTGCCATCCTAAGCACATTTAACTAGAGAGTAAGTTCCAGTGATCTCGGACTTACTTCTGAGTAAACATACTTAGGAACATAAAAGTTCAACAAACTCAATTTTAGGGGAATCATTTTCTGGGAATTACTGTTTGGCTCCTGCCTTAACTTTCATAGCACACCAGGGAGTTGATCTTCTAAATTATAAGACGATGAGTCAACAGGATATTTCACTAAATAGAAGAACAAGAGCAGACTACACATTTCACTTCCAGACTCCCAGCTGATGGAACTGCAAGCCTAGTCAGATAATTGCAGCCCCCACCCCACCCAGGCACTTGAGAGTTTGCTGGCTCCAAACCAATCCTTTCCTCCCACAAATGTCTCTTTTAATCCAAATGAGTAGCAAGTTGGACTCAAATTCTCCTACCCACTTTAATTCCTGTCCTGAGAGACTCTGATAACTGTCCATCAGCCTTTATTTCAAGAAAGGGTTCCTTTTTTTCAGTTGCTTTCTAACCCAAGTGAGAGGGCCCATTAAAAGTTAGGCATGTTAATGCGGCTGATACAGCTGTCCTGTCAAACCATTTAGGTATTTCTGTCTTTGTCTCTGTGTTTCCTTGTAATCTCTAAGAATGTGCCTCTGCACCTGACATTTCTACTCATGACTCACTAGAAAGTCCAAGAAATTGCCATTTAACAAGTATGCATTAAGAGTGAGGGAATCCCACGTTGCTATCAGTCTGGAAAGGTACTATTAGTCTGGCATGGTGCAGACTGCACCCCCAGTTCTAGTCCTTAAATTACTACACACAATGCACATGGGGATGAGACCAGCTGATCTGAAGACAGGCACAGTGTGGATTTTGAGGATCACAGAGCTGTTACAGCTGCCCTGTGGAAATGCTTGAAATTACTCCAACTGGCAGTTCTAAGTCCCATGATAGTTAAGTAGTTTCAACAGAGTATATCATCATGACATTTGGCAATACACCCGCCTTCCCAAAACACAACTCTCCGTTAAGATATTTTATTGGTTATTATTACAAATATTTATGTCCCAACTAATGTGCTCAAATTGGCTAACAACAAGGTTTATAATCTATTCTTACAGAACACTTTAGAAATAACAAAAAGTAGTCTAAAGAGGTAATAAAATACTGCAGTCAAGAAAAAGCCATAATATGCCTGTGCTGGCATGGAGAATCCAACTGCATGTGGAATTACTCCGTACAAAGGGTGTCAGGACTGGTCGTTGTCCTCTTCAGATCACCACACAAACGCTTCTTGTTCATTTTATAACTTTTTATTGCATATTAACAAACTTATAAATGATCCTTATCTTTAACTACTATTCCTCAGAGTCACTTATTTCAGATACCTTCTGAGCTCTGCTTCTCTGTGGCCAGCCATTCTCAAAATGCCGAACGCGCCCTTCCTTTCGTTTTCCCGCTCTTTTTTCTAACCTCCTCACTAGAGCAGGCTTGTATCTCCCCTCCTCCGAATCTGAGCTAGAACTTAACCCTTGCCTTTCCTGGGAACATCCTGTCCCTCCCTGTTGTTCCTGTTGCTCTCTTCTATTAGATTCACTGCTCTCCTCCCCCCCCCTTGGGGAAAGCTTTCTCCCTCTGAGAAACTGGAAACTTCTAACTCTAACCCTTCCCTGACAAAGGGGTAACCAGTATGGGGAGTAATTTTAACTGGCTTTGAAGTGCAAAGTATAAAGCACAGACTCGTTGAGCTTTTGGGGTCACATCAGAGTCTGATCCTAAGCAACTTTTAGAAATGCAATCAACTTTACCATTGAGACTACGATCCAGAAGCTGAAGTATTTTAGCTAGAACATTTGACCTTTATTAATTTGTTACTGATTACTTAGTAGTATATACCATAGAACTTAAAGAATTATAAGATAAGAACAGCAACTGCCCTGCTGGTTCACACTAAAGGCCCATTAGTTATTTCCCCTTGTTAACGAATAAAAGCTTATTTATATTAAGCTAATTATTTTATATGTGGAAGAAGTAACATTTATGTGGCACAGTGATTTTTTGCATTTTAAGTTTGAATTGTGAGTTGCTAAGGGGGATGGTGGCATACTAGATTATGGAGCACTACACTTCATCAGAATTTGCAGACTAAGCGGTTGAAGAATTCGGCCTAAAGCCCTGAGACTTCATACAAACAATTACCACGCCCAAATCAGCCCTAGACCTGAATCTTGAATGCTAGTTGGATAGATCTGCCCATGAATAGGAGAGGGAATCCAAAACAACACACAGGAGAGTGCTAAAGAAAATCAAATATGATTTTTCAGATTAAAATACAGTACTGCCAAACTTCTCAAAGACTAGCATAAACAGCTTTCACATATTATATGCTACAAAAATGAAATAGAAAAAGAGGAAGAGAATTCTTGGCCAAATCAGATAAATTAGACATAAATTAATATTTGAAAATGAGACCGTAAAATAAAGAGGCATTAATCAAAATGTAAAATCCCCTAGATTGAAAAAGATAAGCATTTTTTTAAAAAAGAAGTACAGAAGAAATAGAAATTTGCCTGATTTTTTTTTGTTTATTTGTAAACAGCCATATCTGAAGAGGGGAAAGGATGACTGCTAGGAAAAGAGTAACAACAAAACATACCCAGATACAGTGTTGCCCCGCAAGACGAATGCCTCGCAAGACGGAAAACTCGCTAGACGAAAGGGTTTTCCGTTTTTTGAGCTGCTTCGCAAGACGAATTTCCCTATGGGCTTGCTTCGCAAGACGAAAACGTCTTGCAAGTTTGTTTCCTTTTTCTTAACACCGTTAATACAGTTGCGACTTGACTTCGAGGAGCAACTCATAGAATGCAGTGTACATAGTAGCCTTTTTTGAGGTTTTTAAAGACTTTGGTGATTTTTGAAGCTTTTCCAAAACTTCTTTTGCAGCCATTTGGTAAGTTAAGCTTTTAAAACTTTTTTGGGGGGTTTTGGATTTTGGGTTGGGGTGTTTGGAATTCAAGGACTTGGTGTTGGGGAGGGGTTTGCAAGAATCTGGAAGCTTGTGTGTTTTTTTTCCTGCATTTTTATGATTTTCTGTGACCATTGGGCCACTCTGCTGTTTTTGAAAAACAATTTCTGGATTTGAATTTCTGTGTGCTGGGTGGCTGGGGGAACAGTTGGGGAGGGGTTTGCAGGAATCTGGAAGCTTGTTTATTTTCTTGCATTTTTATGATTTTCTGTGACCATTGGGCCACTCTGCTGTTTTTTTTAAAAAAAATTCTGGATTTGAATTTCTGTGTGCTGGGTGGCTCGGGGAACAGTTGGGGAGGGGTTTGCAAGAATCTGGAAGCTTGTGTTTTTTTTTCTGGCATGGAGAGGCTGCCAGTTCTGATGTTTCTGCGGCTGAAGACTTTGCAGCGGAGTTCCTGGAGGTTGTGAAGACGGAGGGCTACGTTCCACAGCAGGTCTCCAACTGCAACGAGACCGGGCTGTTTTGGAAGAGGATGCCCAAAAGGACTTTCATCACAGCCCATGAAGGATCGTCTGACCCTGCTCTTCTGTGCCAATGCAAGCGGCGACCTGAAGATCAAGCCCCTGCTGCTGTACCACTCGGAGAACCCACGGGCCTTTAAGAAACACAAGGTCAACAAGGAGCGGCTGAGTGTCATGTGGCGATCCAATAGTAAGGCTTGGGTCACACGTGTGCTGTTTGTGGACTGGGTCAATCATGCTTTTGGCCCTGCTGTCAAACAGTACCTGCTGGACAACGACCTGCTGCTGAAGGCTTTGCTTCTGATGGACAATGCTCCTGCTCATCCTAAAGGCCTTGAGGAGGACTTGCTGGAGGAGTTCAGCTTCATCAGCATCATGTTCCTGCCGCCTAACACCACGCCACTGCTCCAGCCGATGGATCAGCAGGTCATCGCCAATTTCAAAAAACTCTACACCAAGGAGCTTTTCAGGCGATGCTTCGAGGTGACTGATTGCACCACCATCACCCTGCGGGAATTCTGGAAGGACCACTTCGACATCATCACCTGCTTGAAGATGATCACCACGGCCTGGGACGGGATCAGCCAGAGAAATTTGAATTGCGCTTGGCGCAGCCTGTGGCCGGACTGTGTGGCACCAAGTGACTCTGATGCACCAGAGTCAACAGTGGTGCAGGACATTGTTGCCTTGGGGAGGACCATGGGCCTGGAGGTCACAGAGGAGGACATCAGCGAGCTGGTGGAGGAGCACGACCATGAGCTGACCACCCAGGAGCTGGTCGAACTGCAGGCAGAGGCTGCGCAGGAGCAGGCCTCGCTGGAAGAGGAGGAAGCAACTGAGGAACGGCTGTCCTCCAAAGAACTGAGGGACATTTGCCTGAAGTGGAAGGATGTGCAGGCTTTTGCACAGCGGCACCACCCTGACAAGCACATGGCACATGACCTTGTGAACACTTTTGATACGAGGGTCATGTTGCCTTTCAGGGAGGTGCTGAAAAGGCGGATGAAGCAGCAGACCATGGACAGATTCTTCAGCAAGAAGCAAAGAGTGGAAGAGGAACCTTCTTCGAGTTGTCCCCCAGAGTCTTAGAAAATGTACTGTACACGTTGTTGATTTTTAAATGTTTTTCTGTCATGTTTAGAAACTTAAATTCAACAACAGAGCACTTAATAAACTCTTGTTGTACCAAATTTGGCTTTGTTTGGACTTTTTTTGACCATAGGAACGCATTAATTGATTTTCAATGCATTCCTATGGGAATTCGTGATTCGCAAGACGAAAAATTCGCTAGACGAAAAAACTCGCGGAACGAATTAATTTCGTCTTGCGAGGCACCACTGTATACAGTATTTCAGCAAGGTTTCCCTTAAGCTCCTCTTGATTAAGGTAGGCTTCCTGTTGGCTGTCAAATCAGCCTGGAGAATATCCCAACTCAGCAACCTCTCTATAGCCAAATACCTCTGCATCTTTCACAAGGGCAGACTGGTCCTGTGCAGTGACCCAATCTTTATACTGAAGGTTTCTTCCAGCTTCCACTTACAACAGGAACTTGTTTTGCCCACATTCTGCCTAGAAAGCGTGGCATTCCCTAGAAATTTGCAGGACCTTAAAAGCCTACAGCAACAGGACCAGGGAACTCAGGAGAACAGAATCCCTCTTTGTATCCTTTCACACTTCCTCCCTGGGGAAGAAAGTGACCTCCCCTACCTTGGCTGGATAGATTAAGGCCTGTATTGCTCTTGCCTATGAAGCACAAAAGCTTCTGGGCTCCTCCTTTCATCACTGCTCACTACATATGATCAGCAGCTACCTTGGCTGCTTTCTCATCTAATGCTCCTCTCCTAGAGTGGCCACCAGGGAATCTCCCAACACCTTCACAAAACACTTCTGCATCAATGCCTATGCTTCTGTTAAAGCCACCTTCAATAGGAGGGTCCTACAATGGGTCCTTCCTCTGTAATCTTGCAGCTGTTCTCCCACCTGAGAATGGGATAGCTCTGGTATGTCCCGATCTGCTGACCTTTCATTGCAGGGAAATGGGGGGAAAGTATGACCGTACCTACCTGAAGCATAGTTTTTCATTGCCAATGAAAGATCAGCAGGGCCCCACCCTTATGGCGGTTTGAAAGATCCCTCAATGTTCTCTCTCTATGATTCCCTGTTTTCTCTGTGATGTAGGATCTGTTTCCCCCCCTTCCCTAGTTCCTGTCTTTCCTTGAGCTTGGTGAATCCGCAAACTGAATTCCTATTTGTAACACATCACCAAGAAAAGAGCCAAGATACCAGTTGAATTAATGGTATCTATAATATTCTCAACCAGACCAAAATCCCAAATAAACTAAAATTACACACCTGTTCAGCCTTCTGGTGAAACACAGCAGACATTGCTAGTATAGTGCTGCGCTCATCCAGTGCTGCAGCAAAGCTCTTCCATTCTTGATCTAGCTGGGTAGAAATTTGTTTAATTTGTTGAGATGCATAATGGCCAGCCTCTGAAAGCCTGGATGCAACCGACATGATGCGATTTATATTCACGTAGGCATTCTGGGGAGAGAGAAAATTATATTAAGTAAGAACTGCCACCTTCCCTATTATTCATCAAAACATTTTAATATATTTCTCAAAACTGAGAATGGGTTGTGAAGGAGAGAACAGGTACACAACCAAGCACCATTTTGGAAGTTCTGACAGCCAAGCTAAATTATTAACAGTATCATATGGTGATATTCTTATTTATTGATTGTACCATTTCATTTTGCAGATGGATGTTCCCACTCCTGAATGCCAAATTTTCTACCTGTTGAAAGCAGTAATGTATTTATGGTGTTTGCCACCCATGCTTCAATTTTTGTTATTTTTTAAGTCACATATCCAGAGTCCCAGCCAGACAAATGGAGTAACTGAAATTGTAAGATGAGGGTTGGAACCATGCTAAACTAGTAAATATTGATTTATTTAAGATATTATTTTGAAACTGAAATAAATAAATCATGAACAACATAATTTCATTTCCACCTTTTTATTTTACTTTAATGTATTGTTGTATTTAAATGTTTTTTTTAAAAAAAATGCTCAACAAAAAACTATAAATTAAAAATTTAAATGAATCTACAATAAGTAGTGCTCTTTCTACTTGCTTTGTAAAGATCATGCTCCTACACAAACATGGAATTAATAAAATGTTCACTAAGGACATGGCTTTTTAAAAGATCAAATGCATTGTGCTTATCATGATGGTCTAACATGCCTCTTTTCACCACTTAGTTCCTGGAGACACACAGGGTGGGCAAGAATTAAGGACAGAAGGTGGGGATTCTGCTAGGACTTGCTCTCTCTCTCTCTCTCTCCCCCCCTTCTATTATAACAAACGATCATCACCGGAATAAAGTTAAAGAAAAATTATACACACAACACAACCCCACTCAGGAGTGAAAGAAGTAGAAGACTCCATGAACTCAAGAAATACATTAACATGAGTCCATGTTTTTCTGCAGAAATCCAATTGCTGCTTTGATTTTGCAGGGAATGAAGTTGTAATCTTTAAACTGTACCCAGCAATTGTATAAGCTCTAATGAAGAACAATAGCTTGTTCTCATATGATCTCTTCAAGAACCCAATTCCCATGGTAATGTTCTTAACCAACTAATTGCATGTGGCCTGATGCAGATTTTAATTGAAGTGCATATTGTCTTGGCATAATATAAAGAGTACAGTGCATGGAAATGACAAACAGTAAGATCTTATTTCAGAAAGATGTCATTAGAGGGTAATTGTAATGTGTTTCCTATGCATTGTAACTCTAGGGAGAGAGGGCAACTTGTCCTAGTTTTTGACAATTAGTTCCTTGACAATGGGTGGGCTGATGTAGCCATGTTGGAAAACAACTTTGCACATTTCTCTGAAGTCATGACTCACCCTTCGAAGGGGTCACATATAAAGCATAAACCAATTTTGGTGAAGCAGTTATGAATAGCTTCAATTAGAATAATCAGCATGTGCACTGGGCTATTCAAATATAAATCGGCAATCAGTGTGATTTGTACCCATTTAAATAGGACAATGAAGCTTGCTTTAGAAAAGTAATGAGATTAATGGGATACCAAATATACTTTAAAGTCAGTTTTCTCTTTTAATGAGACACATTAACATATAGACGTAAATACTGCACAGTTGTAATAAAAGAAAAATCCATTTTTTAAAAAAATGAATACTAACACTGTTCTGTTAAAATAAACACAATTCTTAGAGTATATAGTGCTATATAATATTCCTTTAGTTTAACATAACAGCCTAGGAAATCCATTTTCTTACTATGCACTATAGCATCACTATAGCAGTGATGGTGAAACTGTTATAGACCGAGTGTCCAAACTGCAACCCAAAACCCGCTTATTTGTGGTTCGAGGGCCCGACCCCCGCGAAGTGAAATGAAGACACAAGGACACGTGATATAAGGTTAATGGGCTAGAAAAGGCCACAACTTTATTGATTACAGCAATGAAAAGGTATTGGCTTAGGCATTGGATCGAAACAAGTGGGTTTATTCACCAGGGGTTCATCACCTGTTGATGCTAATCCAACTATAGGCTCACCCCTGCTGTCACCGAGGGTCGTGCCATGGCCTCCCGCCAAGCAGGCATCGGACAGAATACACGACCGCCAGATTCCTTTAACAGAATACCCCTAAAATTGAAGGCATAGGCGATGGCCACACCTAGCACTTCGACACACCACAACACATTATTCCAATGCCTAACCGCCACCAGAGCCAAAGGCTCGCCGCCAATACCCTCAAAGCTGCAACCAATCCCAGATGCTTTTGATGACGCTAGCTAACCAAATGTCGTTCCCCAGATCCGATAGGTGGACACCGTCATTCCGATATAAAGCTTGGTCGCCAATCCGGATACGGTCATTTACTATGCACTATAGCATCACTATAGCAGTGATGGCGAAACTGTTATAGACCGAGTGCCCAAACTGCAACCCAAAACCCGCTTATTTATCGCAAAGTGCAAACACGGCAATTTAACTTGAATACTGAGGTTTTAGTTTAGAGAAAAACAACTCATACATTAACATCTTTTGTCTTAAAAGAAAAACACAATAACAGAGTTTTCAATGATACAAACAACTTGTAAAAGTTTGCATTAAGATGATCCAAACTAAGTAAGGAAAGCAATCCCAAGTGCTTTCATTGATTTAAAATTATTTGGCAGAGAATTCCACACTTTAAGGATTCCCCACTTTTAAGCTCCAGCCCGAGCAAGCAAGCATTTTCAGCGTGGCCCTCTGAGCGCATGCAGAGCGGCACCCCCCCATCACACCGCTGTTTCCTGAAAGGGCCCCGGGGGCTGCCCAACATGCTAGTCCTGTTCCCTCGCCCAGCCCTGACCGGCCCCTACGAAGGGTGTCTGCCGTGGCCAGAGGGTGTGTAAAGCCTCAACCTCGCAGCAGGAGGAGGAAGGCAGCTGCTCGGAACTCTCAGTGGCCCACCAACGCGGCAAATGTAATGAATTTGGGTTGTTTGAAACATTCCTCCTTTTTCTAATTTTTGGAGCATGTGTCACATGTATTTAATACAAAAAAGTAGCACATGTAGCCATGAAGACTGTTACCTTTAAAAAAGAAAATAAAAAACCCTAAAGCTGTCTAAAAAGTCTAAAAGCCTCCCACAAGGAACATTCCATATCTCCTAGGATTTTAAAATATAAGGATTTTGCCTTGACTACCTGATTTTATGAAACCAGCTTTTAGAACAAAATAAAACAAAACATCAATCTACGTACTGTAATGGGAGTTTATTTTAAAGAGTGATGGCAATGAAACTAACAGCTGTACACAATATGTATAGTCTGAGTATGACAAAACTGATGAAGAAGGATTATTCATGAAAAAGTGTGCAAATAAATAAAATGTTTAGAGAACTGCACTTAAAGACACTTTCTTTAACAGTTTTTTCTTTTTCTGTTTCATTACAGCAATAGGAAAGGTAATTGGAAAGCTGTTAAGACCCTGTGGGGATTGGGAACTCAGCCATAGCCATTACTAGCACACATGTGGTGTAAAGCTAGGCATTACTAATCAATGCACAGCTAGTGATAGTCCCCTATGAAACTCTGATATTAAATGTTCAAAGAGGCTCAGCTTATGCTTTATGAGCCGCAGAAAAATCATATGGCTATGAAGAGTCCTGCCCATAAAGAACTTCCACAATCAAATTCTTCATTTTGCTCCTTTAATGGTTCCTCTGTGGAGATGCTTTTTAGGGAATAGCGTTCAGAAAATAAGCAAGTTTATCTAGATGAGACAAGAGTACCACATCTCCAGTCACATCATACATCAAAAGGAAGGCACTTATAACATGGTCATTGTTACTTTCTCAATAAAGCTACATTATGGCAATTTATACGACAGTGTTCTGAAATGACACTTAAATAGGAAGTCTGTGTCCAAGTTTGCAACAGCTTTGTAGAAGCAGCAATCCCAGCAGCTGGTAAAGTTGAATGGAGACAAACCACACAACATCCACACACTTATAGGAATGATTAACTTCCTGCCACAAACCAAAGTTTCTGAATAAATCTTCATGCATTAGTAGTACTTAATTTTTACTGAGTGATACGCTGACAGCTAACAGGTGGATTTTCTCTTCTTTAATTTTTAACTGTGTTCAATTTACCAACTACAAATTAAACTGAAATATTATTGCAAGTGTCCCATAAAGCCACTGGGATTTTAATAACCAGATGGTGTTTTGCTAGAACATAAAGTTTATCATTTCCAGTCCTATGAAACATGACATTTTATTTTTTTAGAACACCCCCAAACACCGAACACCCCCGAAACAACTTGTTTTACATTTATCGAGCGGCCAGTGACATTCTAACCACCCTATGAGTTGTTAAGCTCTGAGCATCTTTAAGCCAAAAATTTAGATGGCCACAGCTTGTCATGGGGCCTCTTATAACCACTGCTATTTTTTGAGACTGAAATTTTCTTTGAATTTTAGAAGTTGTCATCCAATTTCAGCAGGCAAACAAACTGTCACATCATTTCAAGCATTTGGACAATAATTTCAAATAGTGGGGTGCTGAGCTGTGATTGCATATCCTGAAGCAGCTACTTTGATGTGAAGAGATCCAGAATGGCCCCAAGGTTCCTTCAACCCACATAAAACAGGAATGGTTTGGAGCAGGAAGCACTGGAATAGGAAGAACCTGTATCAGCTCTATTTCGATGCACCGTTCCCATGCCCATGCAATAGTGTGGGAGCTAATTTTCTGTTATACAAACTAATGGAAACCTGTGACTAAGCACCCATGTGGCCATGGGTCTTTCTTGCCCAATAATTGTCTTGTCTACTGGTCAAGCAATTACTTGGTGGAAAACAAGAATATGACTCCTGGAGTGGTATGAAATCATACTAGAGGGAAGTGGCTTCAACATTGCTATAAGCACATACAAAAGAGGCATGTATCCAATGCAGATGGAATCAGCATGTCCGAAAATAAGCATTATGGTTTATTTTCTGGAATTCTGAACTTCAGTAGCAGGTTAAATGACCAAGTGATCAAAGAGGAAAAATAAATCCTGGTCATATTGGGGGGGGGGGGAGCCAGTTATCGCAGTACTAAGCTTTCTGTTTACTGACTCATTAATGGTATCTCATGAACATGGCAAAATATGTATTGCACCAACCGTCCTTTAAATACTTTTTTTTTTTAAGTATTGCTGTTAGATGCTCAACCTGACCTTTTACTCATTGAACCTCTATGGCTTCCCTAATCTTTTAACTGGTGCTTCTTCCTTGACTTTTCATCTCTGTCCCATATGCATCCTTAGACAGGAAGAAAATAGGTACTTACCATAGAATTCATAGCAAAATGATTATGCTGTGTCTGCAAATCCAGGGCATGTTGGTAGTTCACTCCAATTTCAGTGTGGCTCTGCAGGAACAACTCTTTGTTGTGACTGATCCAATCAAACATCTAAAAAAAGAAAGAAAACAAAATAATGGCTTGAAGATGAGGACCTTACCTTGGACCCAAGCAAATTGTTTTCTGCAAATTTATGCTGGTGTCACACACAACACCCTATACAAAATTCTACCAAAACTATGCTCTGTGAATAAAAGCATGGCATATGTACTTTGAAAGCACTGCTCAAATCATATGAAGCTTGGATATTTGAACTGTCCAAATTATTGTGATACAATTTCAAATTTGATCTACTTAGTCTTAGGTCAGGTTGAAAGGAGATACAAGCCCAGGGTGGAATATGTATGCATTTATAGGGCTCAGACCAATTAGAAACCTGTATGTGGGCCTATGTAATTTATATGTGGAATTCATTTATAATTCCAAGCAACTCAGAATATATGCATCATGGCCCCCAACCACAGAAGTCAGCAATACTCCAAGGGTAAACTGGGTGCTGCATCCAGAGGATAACCTGAAATACCTTCTTGTATGTCCTCCCTGTTAATTGACAGAGTCCAACCATCACCCTCTTACTCAGAAGATGATAGGAACTCCACTTCCCTGACCTTGCAGAATCCAACAGATACAAAACCAGGCAAGGTCGCAACACAGCCAGCTCCTATAGCCAGCTCTGTCAACCTCAACTCTCTGCTGAGACAACATCCCTCTATTGCTGCAATAGGAAGGTGAACTCCAGCCAGTAGGGGCCACTGGGAACTGTCCATGGTCTGGACTTTCCTGGTTGCATTTTAAAGAGATGTACCCTGATGTGCCCTAACCTCTCAAAAGAGAGATGACTTGACCATGAGCCCCAAGTCCCTTGAAACATTTGGATATGGTAGCTGTTCCCTTATAATGTGACACAGGAATGGTGGTCATCTTGTAATTTGTATGAAAAATCATAGAAGCATAAACTCTATGACAATGAGACAATTGAATTCTCTACGTAATAGAATAGTTCAGAAGATAGATTAGCAATAAATTAGAAATGTGTTATCTTAGATCTATCTAAATGTTCTTTATATAAAAACAGGATGAAGTTACCATATTGACTTGTGTGGGGGATTTTTGTGCAATGGCTGGTCTTCTGAATAGCCTAACATGGGTTGACACAGCAGCTCAGCAAGTTCTGGCTCAATCCTATCTTTAATTATTTACCCCAAGAATAAACAAATCTTGATATGCAAATATATTTGAGAAAGAAGTTTATCATAGCAAAAAATTCAATTCCACATCACTCCTCAACTTATGAAAACTACAAAATAGTTATGTGAACCAGCCCTATATGATTGCTGCCAAATAGATGTGATGTATATAGATCATAGCTGTAAGGTATGACATAAGATCCTTCTAGTGGCTTGTAGTGCTATTCAGAGATAACCAGGTCTAGTCAGTTTCAAAACAAGCCAAATTAAAATTATGGGTTTGAAGGAAGGAGTGCAAAAGCCTGAAACACACTTGGGCTCATTCCAGCATGTGCATGTCATGCTAAACCATGGGTTAGCATGAAGTGCAAACACAGCAAATGGATTTATCTGGATTTCTGCCATTTGCTGGATCATTCTAACAGCAGTGCTCAACTGCTTTTTGTGCATGATATGACTGTAGCCCCAAAGTGAAAAAGTGGGTAAATGAGAAAATCTGTGAAGAGGCATTTTTCCAGCCAGCCAATGCACAGGGATGGATTAAGATTTTTAGGGAGTTGGCAGGAGGAGTTTTGCAGTGGACAGCTGGAAAAATAATGCCACTAAGCTGTGCTGGGAATGGCAGGGAACTCAGCAGATGGAACAGGAGATTGATAATCATTGAGATCAACATTTTAGGGTTGTAGAATGTGTTCCTCTGGTTTTCGAAGCTTTAAGGTTCTACATTTCATTTTCACTAGCAACAGAGTATTTTTTTCTGTTAACTATTTCATGCCTACAGTTGCTTTTTTGGCAGTTTCACATAAAAGAAGAAAGCAATCCAACAGGATTCCTAATTAGAAATTTAAAACTCCAATGTGGCAAAAATGAAAAAAATACTGGGTGAAAAAAATATTCCAGTTGTTCTGTCACCCTCCCAACCCACTAATTTTCTCTTCTGAAGCCACCTGATACATTATTTCTGAAGTTTAAATTAGAAGCTTTCATTACAGCAATGGATGACTTGGCCTGGACATTTTCTGTCTTGGAGAAGCTTCGCGTGTTGGGGATTTACTGCAACAATTCTTTGTCTTAGGAAACAACTTAGGTTTATCTTGTTAAGTAACTGCAGGTTAGATGTGAACATTTTCCAAACCAAGGTAGAGCCATTTAAGAAGGCAAGAGCCATCTGGCAACAAGCCCTAGAAAATAAACAGTCAATCTAGTGCATTATTCACGAGGAACCTAGCTGAGATCAACCTGGAGCTAAGTAATTAACAAACCCCGACAAATTGTTGCTAAAGGACCAAGAGAACATTTCTTTCCTCATCTTCAGAATAACTCTTATGTGATTGGGTAATGGCTCTACATGGACTAATGCAGAATTATTTGGACACAGTGAATTGCATTTTATATTTTCCTCCCTATTCTTGTTCCAAACTTACTTACGAAAGGATATTAGCAGCATGTAGCAGCCATATCCAGCAGCTTCTGATCTGATCTTTATTATTTCCCAAGGGTTTTTTTTTTTCAGCCGGAACTCGCTGGAACTCAGTTCCAGAACCTCTCAGGTGGGGGCCATTATCATTATAAGAGAACAAAGAAGTCATACATAGTGAGTTCCAGCACCTCTTTTTCTAGAAAAATAGCACTGATTATTTCTAATAGCTTGCTAAAATAACGCTGGCCAAATCGTGGTGTTCCCCACCCCCATGCAAGGAAACATGGATCTATTAACACAATCCTAGGAATGAGTGGGCTTTCTGACATGCCTGTCAGGATGCAGTCAGACATTATCTTTACTCTGTGGTGATGGCAACTGTCACAAAGAAAAAAGCAAGAGTAAGTGACTCTTCATGGTGCTTACTATAGAAGGCCTTGCTCTTCTACTAGTTCCAGTGCAAACTATAGCCAGTTAAAAGTGCCTGAAGGGAGTGTAGAGCAGGGCCAGTGAGACGTGTGGCATGGGGACGCCTAGTCAGTGTCTCAAGGGCCAGGTAGAGAAAACTGAAGGGACTCACTTGCCCCTAAAACCTGAGGCTCCCCACCCCTGCGTCACTCAGTGTTAAAGAAGTGGTCCTATTGCATGGATGGGAAAACTTTCATAGCACAGAAGGTAATGTTCAGAACAAGGGGCTAACTGGGAACTGCACAATGAACCAAATGGCCGTGGCTAATTTAAGATTTGCGGCCATGTAAAATAGTATATCATGAATGTACTAAATGTCAGCTGACTAGTTCATACCCTCCAAATTTCTCAGAGGAAAATAGGGACACGAGCACAGAAAAATTTGAATTTCTGTATTGCATTTAGAGAAGCCTGAGGAAAAAGATATGGGGTATCCTAATGTTTATTTTGGGGTCCAGGGACATAAAAACTTTTGAGTTCAGGGATACATAAACTTCCCTTAAGTGTTTTGAAATTCTGAGCAAATTAGGAATGTGTAAGCAATTGCAGCATCCTGGTGCTGTGTTGATTCCTAGATGGATCAGGTGCACAGACAGCCACCCCCTGGCATCCCCTCCCCCAGCTGCGACTCCTCCTCACCCAAATGCACAAAAGGGGTAGAGTCATCAGATTTCAGAAGGCACCACCAATTTACCTCATGGGAGAGATCAATGCCTTCCCCCTGTCCACATGAGAAACCAAGAAGGAAGGGGCTTTGGAGGCATGTGTTTTTGTTCCAGTGAACCCCTCCGCATTTCCTCAAATCCCCTTCATCTCTAGAAATCTAGTCTTGTTCATTTTAAGTCATAGAAAGAGCCAAGCTTCGGGATCAGAACTCTCTGTCTCTCTCTCAAAGCAGGAGCCAAAGAGGAAATGCACACTACACACACAGGTGGCCGCGGCTTAGAGACACTTCAGATTCTCAAATGAAACTGGCAATGAAAGGACTCTGCATTCGGGACAACATGAGAATTCATGGTGACTTAAAGGTTTTCGTGATGGTCTCGGCATTTTCAGGGCAGTTGGAGACTATGCTAGTTTTACCTATATACAACATTAGACATTATAAGCTGGAGTAGTTAAAAGGTTTTCAAAAAAGAAACAAAGGAAGGAACTTTTACTGTAAAATTATATTTTGCTTTCTCTTTAGAGCTCTTCTTCATGAACAAGCACAAAAAGAAGGTTGTTTAAAAGACAGAAAGACTTTGATATTTTCCCATCATATTCCCCACTTCTACCCTTTCAAAATATCAAAGAGAATGAATAGACCTGCCAGGGTACACAGTGACTAGAACATTCACTGCCTTCTGAAACATAACCCAATAACTTATGTGTGGATGGAGGTGATCTGGGAGTCAAAGTGCTGTCGTATTTCTGCCCAGTGTGAAAAATACCTGAAGAGCTGCCAATGGTAAATAGGATAAATGTCACAGAATGCTCTACAGAGCAATAATTGAGGGCATCCCTGATGTGCCTCCTCCATTAGTCAGATACATTTGTTACTACAGTATACTTGCAGCACTGCATACCTTAATGAGTTCATCAGCAGGTTCGGAAACAAATGGGCAGCTCTCTTGTTTACCTCCGTAAATCTTATTGTCTTTGCTTCTAGGGACTTGGCACTTGGTCTGCTGTTTAACTTGGAACTCGTTTCAATAATGTATATTGTAGACAGCTCAGGGTATTCTCTGTATCCTTCTTTAAGCAGATAGCAATAAACTACTGCTAGAGGGTTTACAGGAGCCAGCAAAGACGTAGCTTTAAATCCCAGCTCAGAAATAAAATAAATGTGCAGGGGCCTTCGTCAAATTTCTGGTAATGAACATTTCTATGTATCAACTGAAGAGAGGCCTCAGGCTCTTGTGGGTAATTTAGCAAAATATTGCATGGATTAAGCCTGCACACAATTTGTTGGATTTTTTCATGAGAGAATAATT